TCCTTCCTTCCTTCCTTCCTTCCTTCCTTCCTTTCTTCCTCTCTTTCCTTTCTTTCCTTTCTTTCTTGTCTTTTGGGAATTTGTCCCCATGATGTTTATTTTTATTGTAAGATTTTATATTGTTAGATTTTTTTCCATATCTGTGGTTGGAAATCATGTATGATATTATATTGACATAACAAGACTAGTGGTATATATTTTTAAAAACTTTATTCACAGTATTAGAAAAATAAGATAGTGTCTTTCTTTTAGATTGCAAATACATGGCTGACTTTTTTTTTTCAGTTTTTAAATTTAAATTCAATTAGCCAACATATAATATATCATTAGTTTTTGATGTAATGTTCAATTATTCATTAGTTGCATATATGACCCAGTGCTCATCACATTGTGTGCCCTTCTGATTCCAGGCCTTTATGTTCTGTAGTCTGCTGATACAAGCTTTTTTTTTCCTTCATGGTATCTTTTTATTTATTTTTTAAAAAGATTTTATTTATTAGAGAGAGAGAGAAAGAGAGGGGGGGAGAGGGAAGGGAGAGGGAGAGAATCTCAAGCAGGCTCCATGCTTAGCATGGAGTCTGATGTGGGGCTTGATCTCACAATCCTGAGATCGTGACCTGAGCCAAAATCAAGAGTCGGACGCTCAACCAACTGGGCAGCCCAGGTGCCCCTTCATGCTGTCTTTTTAAAGATATAATTCATATACCGTAAAATTCACTTTTATAGTATACATTTCACTTGTTTTTAGTATATTCATAAAGTTCTGCAGCTGTCACACCATCTACTTTTAGTTCATCTGAATCACCGCAAAAAGAAACACAGTACATATTAGCTGTCACTCCCCATTCCTCCTTCTGCAACCCCTGGCAATCACTAATCTACTTTATGGATTTGCCTTTCTTGAAATTTCATATAAATTGGATCATCTGGTATGTGATCTTTTGTGACTGACTTCTTTGATTAGCATTATGTTTTTAAGGTTCATCCATATTTTGCCATACATCAGTACTTCATTACTTTTTATTGCTGATTAATACTCCATTGTATAGATATACCATGTTTTACTTACCCATTCATCAGTTGGTGGGCATTTGAGTTGTTTCCAGAAATGCTGGCATATGAGTATTAAGTAAGCTGTTGTGAATATATGGGTACAAGTTTTGTGTAGACAATTCACTTCTCTTGGGTATATACCTAGAAGTGGAACTGTCGGGTCAAATGGTAACTTTATGTTTAAGCTTTTGAGGGGTTTCCAGATGTTTTCCAAAGTGGCCGTACCATTTTACATTCCCATCGGCAGTGTGTAAGGGTTCTAATTTCTTTATATCCTTGCCAACACATCTGTCTTTATGATTCTTTTTGATGTTATTTTAAGTGGAATTGTGGGTGTGAAGTAGTAGTTTGTTGTGGTTTTGATTTGCCTTTCCTTGATGAGTAATGATGTTGAGCATCTTTTCATGTGCTTATTGGCCATTTATATACCTTCTTTGGAGAAATGTTCATTCATATCCTTTATCCATTTTAAAATTGTCTTTTTATTTTAGAATTGTGGGAAGTTTTTATATATCCTGGATACAAATTTCTTACGGATAAACGATTTACAGTCCCCCTGCCCCCATTCTGAGTGGGTTTTTTTTTTTTTTTTTTACTTTTATTGTGTACTTTAAAACTCAAAAGTTTTAATTTGATGACATCCAAATTCTAGTTTTTTCTTTGGTTGCTTGTGCTTTTAGTTTCATATCTAGGAAACCACTATCTAATCTGAGGTCATAAACATTTGCCGTAATGTTTTCTTTGAATGGTTTTATAGTTTTAACTCATATTTAGGTCTTTGATCCACTTGGAGTTAATTTTTGTACATGGTGTGAGATAGAATCCCAACTTTGTTCTCTTGGATTGAATATCCATAGTCCCAGCTCCACTTATAGAAAATACTACCCTTTGTTTATTGAATTGTTCTGGCATCGTTGTTGAATTGACCATAAATATAACGCTTGTATCTGGACACTCAGTTCTATTGCATTGATCTATATGTCTGTCCTTAGTTATATCACACAGTCTTGATTACAGTAGTTGTGTAGTAAGTTATAAAACTTAGAAGTGTGAACCCTCCGATTTTATTTTTCTTTTGAAGATTGTGATTCTGAGTCCCTTGCATTTCCTTATGAACTTTAGGGTTAGTTTGTCAGTTTCTGCAAAAAAGGTAGTTAGGATTTGATATGGGATTGTGTTGAAGCTGATCAATTTTGGAGAGTATTGCTATCTTAAAGACATTAAACCTTTTGATCTATGTACATGGGTGTCCTTACATTTATTTAGGTCTTCTTTAATTTTTTTCTTAACATGTTTTATAGTTTTCAGTGTATGAATCTTCTACTTCTTTTGTTGAATTTATTCCTAAGTATTTTATTCTTTTTGATGTTATTGTAAGTGGAATTGTTTTCTGAATTTGATCTTCACATTGTTCATTGCTAATATGTAGAAATAACAGTTGATTTTTGTATATTGATCTTGTATCTTGAAACCCTTTTGAACTTGTTTATCAGTCCTAATAGTTTTTTAGTGGAGTCCTTAGGACTTTTTGTATACAAGATCATGTCCTCTTCTACTAAGAGATAATTTTACTTTTTCTTTTCCAATATAGACGCTCATTATTTCTTTTTCTTGCCTAATTGTTTTGTCCAGAATATCCAGTATAATGTTGAATATAAGTGATTGCTGTATTATCCCTGATCTTAAGGGAAAACATTCAGGTTTTCACCATTAATTATGACGTTCGCTCTGGACTTTTTGTAGATGTCCTTTATTATATCATATATAGGAAGTTCCCTTCTATTTCTAGTTTGTTGAGTGCTTTTCTCATGAAAGGGTGTTGGATTTTGTTAAATGCTTTTTTTGTGTTTATTAGTATGATCCTGTTTTTTCTATTTATTTTTTTTTATTTTTTTCTTTATTAACATGGTGTATTACATTAAGTTTCACATATTAAAACCAAACTTGCTTCCCTGGGATCCCTCTTGTTCATGGTGTATAAGACTTTTATGTTTTGCTGCATTTGGTTTGCTAGCATTTTCTTGAGGATTTTTGTGCAAGATATATTAGCCTGTAGTTTTCTTTCCTCATGATGTCTTTGTCTTGTTTTGGAATCAGGGTAGTACTGGTATCGTGCAAGGAATCGAGAGTATTCTTTCCCTTTCTAGTTTTTGGAACAGTTATAAAGGATTGACATTAAATCTTCTTTAAGACTAATGGTATTTTAATTTTTGTTTTTATCTCTTAGGATTCTCCTTTTACAAATGCAGGAATGGGATCTAATCTAAATCTCTTGGGTGAAATTGAGTGTGATGCCAGCATAATGGATGGAAAATCCTTAAATTTTGGAGCTGTTGGAGCACTGAGTGGTATGTGGACATTATAACACATTATCTCTATTCTCTAAAGAACTATGAATATTACCATATGATGCCTCCTAAAGACTTAGTCAATCTAATGTTTTCTACCATTCTTCTTGGAGTAGTATTGAAAACAACACTGTTTTCTCTTATTGAATTTAAAACATGAAGTCTTAGCTTTGAAAAGTTTTAAAGAAAATAGTAAAAAAGCTTATGTTCAAGTCTTTGTTAGAGGTTGATCATTCTCCTCCATCTCATTGAAATTATAGACATTTAACCTGTGAGTTAGCATATTCTTTTAATTTTATGATTATTTGAAATACACAAATAATATATTTTTTTGTTAGAAAGTTCAAATGATGTAAATAAAATTTGCCGTTGCTCTTCCAAATCTTTCCTTCTCATCCCTTTCTCCTTGAAGGGGTTTAACCAGTAAAATACAGTGCATTTATCTATATTTTTGTGTAATAGAAACGCAGTTTCACACATGTATTTTTTAAAAAATATATGTACATATTATTATGAAACTTTCTTTTTTCTTTAACTAGGATGTTTTAGAGATTTTTCCGACATCAGTACATATAAGATATATCTAATATTTTACAAATACACATGAAATGCACATATTTTAATTATAAAGCTGCATGAATTTTTAAATGTATACAGCTATGTAAACCATTACCCAGGTCAAGCTATAAGACATTTCCATATCAAAATACAGAACATTTCCAGGGTGCCGGGGTGGCTCCGTTGGTTGAGCATCAGACTCTTGATTTCAGCTCAGGTTATGATCTCAGGGTCCTAGGATCTAGCCCCATGTTGGGTTCCTTGCTCAGCAGTAGCACGGAGTCTGCTTGTTCCTCTTCCTCCCCTGTTTGTGCATGCTTTCTCTCTCTAAAATAAATAAATAAAATCTTAAAAAAATACAGAACATTTCTATAATCCCAGAAGAGTTCTTTATGCCTCTTCCTAGTCCATACCTCTTATACTCTGCTCCTGCCTTCCCTCCTCCTCCTGTTCTCCCTTAATTTTGACTTTAGGTACCATAGATTAATTTGCTTGTCCCTGAAATTTATATGAGTGGAATCATACACCTCTGTGTCTGTTTTTTTTTTTTTTGCTTAATACTATGCCTGCGAGATTGACCCATGTTTTGTGTCACAGTAATTTTTCTTTTTATTACTTAGTAGTATTTTATTGCATGAGTATATAATATATAATAAATTATCTGTTCTCCTTTAGAGGATATTTGAATAGTTTCTAGTTTTTTTTTTTTTTAAAGATTTTTTATTTATTTATTTGAGAGAGAGAATGAGATAGAGAGAGCATGAGAGGGGGAGGGTCAGAGGGAGAAGCAGACTCCCTGCTGAGCAGGGAGCCCGATGTGGGACTCGATCCCAGGACTCCAGGATCATGACCTGAGCCGAAGGCAGTCGCTTAACCAACTGAGCCACCCAGGCGCCCAGTTTCTAGTTTTTGACTGCGCCAATGAATATTCTTGTACATGTCTTTGATAGACATATGTACTTAATTCTCTTGGTTATAAACCTAAGATTTGGAATGGTAAGTTTATCATTAAGATCCTATCCTTAAGATCAGGGATAATACAGCAGTGTTCACTCTCATCACTTCTGTTCAACATTATACTAGATGATAAGTTTAGGTACATAATGTGCTTTGCTTTAGTTGATACTGCTGGACAGTTTTCAAAAGTAGTTGTTACAATCTATACTCCCACCAGCAGTGTATGATCATTTTAGTTACTCTACATCAGGGCCAACATTTGGTATTGCTATTCTTTTTAAAATTCATCCATTTTGGGGTGCCTGGGTGGCTCAGTTGGTTAAGCGTCTGCCTTTGGCTCAAATCATGATCCCAGCATCCTCGGATTGAGCCCCACATTGGGCTCCCTGCTGATGGGGAGCCTGCTTCTCCCTTTCCCTCTGCCTGCCGCTCCCCCTGCTTGTGCTCTCTCTCTCTCTCTTATAAATGAATAAAATCTTAAAAAAAAATAAAATTCATCCATTTTGGTATGTGTGCAGTGGCATTATTGTTTTAATTTTAGTTTCTCTGGTGACTAATGATACTGAGAACCTTTTGATATACCTATTGGCCATTTAGATATTCTTGTTGTGCAGTGTATGTTCAAAAGTCTTTTGCATATTTTTTATTGGATTATCTTTTTTCATTGATTTGTTCAAATACTTTATATATTTTAGATACAGATCCTTTGTCAGATACTGTAGTATGTATATCTCCTCCTAGTCTGTGGATGACCTTTTCACTCTTTTAATGCTGTCTTCTGATGAACTGAAGTTTTTAACTCTTACGTAGTTTAAATTACCAACCTTTTATTTTATGGTTATTTTTAAAATATTTTATTTAAGAAATCTTTGTCTACCCAAAGTTATGAAGATTGTCTCTGTTGTTTTAATACTTCTGTTTTTTTTTTAACGTAAGCTTTACACCCAATGTGGGGCTTGAACTCATGGCCTGGAGATCAAGAGTCACATGCTCTCCTGACTGAGCCCACCAGGCATCCCTAATAGGTTTTTTGTTTTTGTTTTTGTTTAGTTCTGTTGTTTTTTACCCTTCACATTTAGCTCTCTTATCAAGCTCAGATTAATGTTAGTGTATGTGAGATAGGAGCTGACATTACTTTTTTTCTCTTACGGATATCCAGATGGTTCATTGCCATTGTCAATAGAAAGGACAGTGTTCTCCTCACATAACTGTGTTGGCAAATCAGGTGACTGACTATACATGCAATGGCTTGTTTCTGTACCCTCTATTCTATTCCATTGTCCTATTTATTGCCAGTGCCATACTGTCTTGTTTACTGTAGCTTTATATTCTTTATATCTGCTGATATGTATGTATATTCTTGATAAGGTACTATAAGATTTTTAACTTCCTTTTTTTTTTTCCTTTAAGATTATATTGGCTATTCTAGGTGTTTGGCCATTTTCATAAAATTTTTGAGTCAGCTTGTCAATGTCCATAATAAAACCCTGCTGGGATTTTGGTTGGTATTGCATTGAATATATAGAATCATTTGTGGACAATTGATGTCTTAACAATATTGAATATTCCAGCCCACAAACATAGAATATGTATATTTATATAAACATTACTCTTTTTTTTCTCAGCATTGTTTTATGGTTTTCAGTATAAATGTCATGTATATCTTTTATTAGATTTATTCTAGATACTTAGTTTTTTGATGTTATTATAAAGTATATCTATTTAGAATGTCTATCTAATTGTTTTATTAAATTTAGAAATATAATTGAATTTTGTATATTGGCCTTGAATTCACTAGCCTTGATGAAGTTATTCTATCACTTATTCTAGCATTTGAAAAAATAGGTTCCCATGGAATTTCTATATACACAATTATATTACCTATGACTCATGCAATTTTGCTTTGTCCTTTGCAATATGTAAACTTTTCATTTGGCTGTGACATTCAGTGCAATGTTGAATATAAGTGGTGTTAGTGTACATCTTTGCTTTGTTTCTGATCTCAGAAGGAGAGCATTAAATATTTCACCATTCTATATGCTCTGCTAGCTTTTGGACTGTCATAGATACTCTTTATCAGATTGAGGAAGTTCCCTTCTAATCTTAGTTTGCTGATAGTTTTTATTATAAATGGGTATTGAATTATCATTAAGTGCTTTTCTGTGTCTGTTGAGATAAAGATTTTTCTCCTTTATTTTGTTAAATATGAAATTTGTGATTGATTTTTGAATGTTCCCTTGGCATAAAGTCTTCTCGGTCATATTTTTATCTTTTTATATTCTGCTGGGTTCAAGTTGTTGATGTTTAAGATTTTGACATCTATCTTCATGTAATAGATTGGCCTTAATTTTCCTTTCTTGTAATATTATTTTCAGGTTTTGGAATCATGTTATGGCTGACCTCACAAAATGAATTGGGGATTTTTTTTTCCTCTTTGAAAGAATTTGCATGTGATTGGAATGATTTCTTCTGAGAATTCATTAGTTATTCTAAATTAGTGGAGCTTTCTTTGTGGGAAGTTTCAAAAAATGGATTCAATTTCTTTAACAATTATAAGATTATATTTTCCTCTCATTGTGTTTGTAAAGGAATTTGTCTTTTTCATAGGAGTTGTCAAATTTATTTACCTAAGGACTTTTTAGTTAGCTTTTTTTTTTGATTTCTAGTTTAATTTCACTGTGGTCAGAGAACATCCTCTATATGATTCCAGTCCCTTGAAGCTTTTTGAGACTTGCTTTATGGCCCAGTTTATGGTATGTTTTGTTAAGCATTCCATGTGAACTTTAAAAGAGTATATATTTTGTAGTTGTTGGGTACATGTTCTATATGTGCCAGTTTGGTCAGTTTGGTTATTCACTTGTTCCAGTCTTCTTTATCCTTTCTGGTTTCTGTGATAGGTAAGAAAGAGTATATCAATTAGTTTTAATTTTAATTTTAATTTCTTTCATTATGAAATTTTATTAGTAATGAAATTTCATATGTTTAAAGGCCATTAGCATTTCTCTATGAACTGACTGTTCCATATCTCTTGTGGCTTGCCTTTTAACTTTACTTACAATGTGCTTTATTATATTAGAATTTAAAATTTTTGTCGAACTTATTGTTCTTTTGTGGCTTTTGTATTTTGCATTTCTTAAGCTTTCCCTCATAATTATAAGTATAGTCACCTATATTTTCTTCTAATACACTTATAATTTATTTTTCATTTACTTCTTTAATGCATTTTTTTCCTGAAATAACCAACAAAACATAATCTTGAATAATAACAATAATAATAACTATTGTTCATTGGGTGACTGTTACATACCATGCATTGTTCTCCAGTAGTTTATATATATTCAGTCATTTAGTTCTCACAGTTACCTTTTGAGGACACTACTTTTATCCCCATTTCACAGATAACGAAACTGAAATACAGAAGAGATTTAGTAATTTGCCCAAGGTTACTGTATCAGTCTGGGTCCAACTAGGAAATGAATCACATA